AAAAATAAAAAGTCCCCAAAATGCGGTAAGGCTATCGTTACAGGTACACTTATTCTGTCAAAGATGGAAAAGGAAACCTTACTATTGAGTTGCAATCCATTCATCTGTTGGTTTCTTGCCACAAACAGTATCAGCTTGCAGAAATGCAGCGGGAGCTAATTCAGATGACCAGTCTTAAAATCACATCATCGTCGGTCCTCCTGGGACGTCCTCAGACAGATTTAGCCCAGATGCTCATTCCGTAAATAATCTCACTACATCCCAGTTCTGCCTCCATGGGGTCTCAGACCACTGTACCAAGGAGATGTCCAGGGGGACAATCACATCTCTCCACTTAGGCCAGTTCATTTTCAGTGAGCAGGAGGTTAAATGTGTGGGAAAGACACATTTTCATTTCATTGTATTTTTTGCATTTATACCCACAGTTTCTGACTCAGATGTTGTTGCTGCAATACAGTGGTCACTCAGTCTGTCACTATTCAGCCTTCCCCTATTACCTTCTTCTTCTTCCTGTTCTCCTTCATCATCATCACATCTTCCTGAACATCATCTTTATCTTCATCATCTTCCTCTTCTCCATCATCATCACACTGTCATTACCGTCACCATCAGTGACCACAGACCAAATCTTATATCCATGAGATTTGTAAATGGTATGAGAAGAAGAGGACAAAAAAATCCATATACAGCTGAGCAGGGATTAGAATGGAATCTTCTTTCAGCTGTGGTGAGCCTGGTTTCTTGGGGACCAGAACCTAAACATGAATGAAACAAGTTTTCTACATGACAACAAACTGATCATAACAGGGATTATAGTTTAGTACAAACCTTAAGTCATCCAGTAGGATGCAGGTCTGGATTATCTTGGATGCAGTCATGACTTGACCAGGATGTAGCTGCTCCAGGTTCTGTAGTCACAGGTTTATTGGATACAAGTAACGAGTTGAAACATAAACAATCATAAACAATTTAAGTGTTCTTCATAGCTAGTCTGTTTTTTACGCTGGACCTGTACATGTACTGTGCTTAACGAGGTCCAGTATAAAAAGAAAGAACGTGGTTTTGGTATCAGTACCATCAAATACACTGGTCGTTTGTTGATTACAGTCTCTGTGGTCTTTTACAGTTTGGCAAATAGAAATCATTGCCTTTCAGGGCTTCTCAAATGAGCGTAGACCCAAAGAACTACGGCCACAGCCTGCAGTCAAATGCTGTGATGAAGGTTTCAGCCTGACATTGAGATGAAAGAAGGATTCAGGCTTTCTGAGAGCTCAAGAGGCAAAAGCACTGTCTTCAAGTGAACTGTCGCAGCTGTCAGATGTCAAGGCGATCAAAGAGGCCTTGAACTGATTGGATTGATAGGAAAATACAAGGTTATCTTTGTGATGAGCTCCTCCAAAACCAGAACAGACCTGCTGAGGATTTTTTACAAATCACCCAATGAGACTGCATTTTTCTCTTTTATCCTCCACCGAATATATAGATGCGTCCCAATGTAAAATGTCATTCGAATTCAAGTTGTAATACAGCTACAATAGCAAAAAAACAAACAAACAAACAAAAAACGTTTTGAAGGAGAAAATAAGACTTGTAACAACAACTATACAGTAAAACCACTCTACGCCAACTGGGTGATTATTCAGTAAGATTATATCCACACATAAGGTGCATTTTGACAGTGCATTTACAGGTAAATAGAGTGACAAACAACTCATCCATTGAGTAACTTCAGAGTGACATGAAATGACTGCAGTGTGGACTCGACTCTTTAGATCTTACAAAAAAATAATTTTCATAATAATAAACTTAAACAGGATTTTAAAAATATATATTTTTTCTTTTTACATATTTACACAAAGCAAGTTCTAGTCCAGGCGTGGGCAAACTTTGTGACTCGCGGGCCACAATTGGTCCTAAAACTGAACAGGGGGGCTGGGTCAGGCGCAGATAGATGGAGCGTTGGTGTGAACTAAGATAAATGACATGTAAAAGTCATGCATAAAGGCTAAAATGCTAAAACACTTTTAATATTTTCTTCGCAATCTATTGGGGAAACGTGGGTATTGCAAGGAAAAAGCTGAAGTATAATGATAAAATAAATAAATTATATGATTTGGAAAAGTTTGGCGGGCCGGATTAAAAAGCTGAATGGGCCACATCTGGCCCCCGGGCCTTAGTTTGCCCATGCCTGTTCTAGTCTGTGTAGTAATTCAGATTTAATAAAGTGTCAGTCATTTGGGGTTATATGATCATATAGATGAGCGGTTCCCAAACATTTTTGGCCACCGACCCACCAAAAGGCATTCAGACAAAGAATTTGTTCATTTCCTTTTCTCCTTAAGAAGAAGAGTGAGAGAAGGAAGAAGTGTCACCAAAGGACAACTCCTCCATTTACAGCTACGGTGATAATCACGTTTCTTTCTCCTTCTGTTACCATCACAGTTGGAAGCGTGAAGGTTTGCTGCCTCCTAATGAGTTCAAGGGACAACGCACATTCCTGCAGCAGCACAGCACACAGCAAAAATGAAATGCTGTAAGTGGTGGGCTAGCAGTGGACAAATCTTTCTTTTAATGAAATAATATCCAAAAGCATTTTCCTGCTTCTCTCTCCCAAACCCATCCATTCACAAGTAGAGACTTAAAAGGCCAGGTACAAAAGTTTCCCCTCCAAAATTGGACACATTCATTACTTTGCTGTCAGTACGTGAAACTCGGCGGGTTCATTTTCAGTTCATACACTCGCTCATAACTTATTTAACCGTAAAGTCGAGTTGCGAATTTGAGCAGGGAACAAGCGGAGAAAGGTCCTCTGAGAACAGACTGTTTCATTTTCTTCAGTGTTTACCAGCTTCAAACGCAGGTTGTATTTATTCAAAACATGCATGTGTCTGTGACAACAGCATCTCCAGAACAATGGTTATCTAGAAAAATCTAGAAATCTAGAAAAACTCCTGAACAAACAACAGGTTTGTCTTCACACTAATCTTTACACTGTGAAACGTCTGTCTGTCTGTCAGAGCGCCGTTTCCTCTCTGCTTGTTGTCTGCTGCATTCAGATTTCAACCCCACGGCCATAACGTTCAAGTCAAGCTGATTAAACATGTCACACTGAGAAATGGTTGTAACGACAGGGAAGGAAGGAGAGAAAAAGAAAAGAAATTGAATACAACATAACACCAATTTTAATTGGTGGTATGTTGAAAATTGAGAAAAAGGCCAGTACAAAGGAGGAGATTCCTGTTGTCAGAAACACGATCTTGCTTCACATGAGCAGTTGTAGACAAATGAATTGAACAACATCATACCTCCTACTGTAAATGAAGACTTTCAGACTAAAAAAAAAAATGCAAATAATCAATGCACTATACAATGTCCTTAGCAGAAATAAATTAAAAGAAAATCAAAGTGTCAACTAAATGTCAAACTTCTTTTGAGAGTCTCAGCAGGGTTTTTTTTTCCCTTATTTTAAAGAGAAGAAAGAAGATCTTCCCACCAGACGTTCTTTTGTCCAGCCTCAGGACTTATCTACTCTGATGCAGTCACGGAGGGTTTTTCTCTGCTTCAGTGAAACATTGTCAACTCTCATACCTTCAGAATATTGAATATGTTATCTTAGACGTCACTCTCCTCTCGCTCTAAAAAAAAAAAAAAGAAAACAGTACATTGTTAGAAAAAACACACACTTCCTTTGTGTCAGTCCTGACAAACGTGGCTGTCTCTCAGAGATAAAACCAGAGAGGAGGCTGAGAAGAAAAGATCGGACTCTGCAGTTTATTACAGGAGTGAAAGGCTCCTTTTCACTCCTATAATAAACTGCAGCATCCGATCTTAGCTTTGGGAACTTTAAATGAAAATTAAGTGATACAAAAAATAAATTTAACGTAAATAATTTAAAAAGTCTTTAAAGAAACTGAATGTGATCATGTTAATATATGCACACACTTTATTACCCAAGAGGAGCAATATCTGGTTAACCTTTTGGTGCAAAACAGTTTAGCATAAGGTTTTTGTACTTGAAAGTGTTCCAAAAGTGCATGTTTTGTTAAATTTTTTTTTTGTTGGTACTAAAAATCACACCAAAAAGTTTGCTTTATGACCTAAAAAATCTCAAAACAAAACAAAAAGTAATTATTGGCCTTTCATGTGCCTTTTGAATTCCAAACTACAGATTTAAGATTTTGTTTTAGTTCTATGAAAGCTAGAACTTTTTTGAGAGGCCTCTGTGGCAACCTCTGAATGGAAAAGATCTGTCAATTTTTGCTCTAAAATCCAATAGTATTTTTTTAATGAATTGCATCTAATTAAGCTAGAGGATGTGGAAATGACATTCTCACCACTATCACAGTTCTTCCCATATTATTATCTTTATTTCCTTTCCGCCTGCCCTCCATAACAAGCTGCGGTCACACTATTTGGTCTCTTGTTTTTTTGAAAGTAAATGGGAGCAGAGGAAATTTGGGTCATGCTTGAAGCCAAATGACATGGCAACGCCATCTCTGTTGTCAAATAAATTACTGATGCAAAATTCTGCAAAGATAATAATAAAAGGATCATTCTGATGATAGACATATATCAAACATAACCCACCAGTGTCAAATTGTAAAATTTGGGGGCTGTAATTATTGTGTTTGTGTCAGAGAGAGGTCATCCATCATGGACAGGTGAAGGAAGGTCAGCGTCAGTCTGGTTTGACTTGATCCACACCCACAAGAAGTTTCTTTGTTCGAGAGCTAGCCACAGTTTAAAGATGTATATTTAATATTTTAACTGAAAAACAATATACACCAGGTCTCCAACATCTTTGACAGACTATCATTTAATTAATGTCTGGTTAAGCTGTGATGGTTTTTTTCATGTTTTTTTTTTTAGATTTTCTACCCTCAAAGAAAAACAATTCAACAAATAAATTTCCAAGGGTGGTGAAGATATTTTTTTCAACACCCTTAAAGTGATAATTGTTTCTTAGCAGCAGTAGCTCAATCTGTTTATTCTTTTTCCAAAATTGTAGGAAACTTCACAGAAAAGAACAGAATGCAGAGAAATAGCTCTGTCTTAGATCTTTTTGACTAACCTGGCTACTGCACCTTAGCCCAGTGGTTCCAATGTGTACAGTATGTATTACTGTGTACCTTTTGTCTGAAAACTATTTTTATTTAACGCTAATAATTTTTCTTCTTAGTGTATGACATGTAACATGCAGAAAAATTAAATACTCCTCCACTAGGTTTAAATTGCTAACAGTGTTGTGTTCAACTAAACAGGCCCAAATTTCTCACTAAAGTAGAGTATTCAGATTCACTAATGTAAAATATGTGCCTGACAACGTATTCACAAAACACATCCTTATTACTACGTTTTACTTTTAGCTTAGAATTTATTAATATTGTCACTTGTTGGCACATGTTGTTTCAGGTAAAATGTACAGTAAGTAAAATCCACCAACTTAATTAAACTAAATTTTATAAATATTAACATGGAAAGAAATTTCCACATACAGGAAGATGCTTAATGGCGCCTCATGTGGCAACTGTGTGAGTTGCAAAGACTCACACAGTAGACCCAAATAAGGGAGTTTTTGTTTTTAGTGAAAATGCAAATGAAACATTTATACCACTCCAAGTACCACAATTAGTTCCATAACCTTACCTACATGGCATATATTAAAATATATGAGACCTTTTCTTAATATATTGCCATTTTACCTCCAAGTCTCTGAAACGCCTGGTGTGGTATTTAACCTGACAGCTCCTAAGTACTAACTACTAAGTTCAACTTTTCATTTAGATTTCCAAGCATGTTCTGGTGCAGGTCCTCTTAGCACATTTGTGAAAAACAAATCCTGTGTATTCTCACCTCCAAGCTACAGGTATCTATATATCTATACTGTATGTACAGTACTGTCGTGAGTCGTGATGCATTTATGAGCTCTATGTAATATGAAAATACGAGGGGAAAAAACATCCCTCTGCCCCCAAAAACACATCCGCTGTGACATAACTTAAGAGAAATTACATTGCGATTTCTCCAACAGGGTTCACTCCCGGGTACCAGGATTTGCACTCATTTCTGTGATTTGCCTAAAGACACGAGCTTTATGAGAGTAAATAATGGATTGTTGAAAAAAGGATCATGGCAGCAAGAGACCTATTGAGCTCCAGTCTGTTTTCTGCATTTCCCTGAGGTGAAACACGCAAAATATTGGCTGCTTATTTTTTTGTGTGTTTATATGCGTGTGTCCCTGGAGAATTTCTGAGCAGCTACTACACTGGTGAGTTGCACCAATGTGCCACATGCTGCTTACATTAGGCCAAAATAAATTCCAGTGAAAGGCATTATCAGTTCCAAATGAATGTAAACTGTGCTCAGTGTGAGCCATTTTCTACTTAACACCACACTGAATCCTCTAGATAATCACAGCCTTCTGCTGCCACACTGAAATTTGGCAATCTCATATTCTTTGCCTCAGAACTGGAACAGAAATGTTGCAAAGAAGAAAAATAACTTGATATATTTAATGTGTCAGTCCAACTGAAGCTAAATGCAGATTTGGAGTTTGATTACAACTAGTTTCCTGAGAAAATGCAAATACAGCAGACTGGAACTCTTGGATATGAAGAGTACTCCTGTCAGTTTCACATTTTAACATCAACATATATGCAGGGATTTGATGTCAGGCATTTACAGGGCTTTTCACTTTGTTTCTGACAATCTTATGGATTTTGAGAATGTAGTTTTTATTTATACATATAAACTCAAAAAAATACCTATGCAGTAATCAGAATGATTGCATATTGAATATTTGCTTATATCTGAAGCATATGCATTACATACTATATATATATAAACACACATACATATATAGTGTGAACAAATGATATGCTAAACAAAACCAGTTTCATCACCACATTGGATTAGATGGCTAAAGAACACTGCTGCCTCACTGCCCTCTAGTGGTTGGTACGTGTACTCGCGCAAAAACGATACACAATAAAGCTGTCTTTTTACTCGAGGACCATTTAGGACCAAACCTCTGAATAGTCCGCATGATGTAAGAAATGACAAACGCTGCTGTGAGGGGACGCTGTTGATACAGAACAAAAACACTTTCACCACTTTTTTTTCGTGGAATAATGAAATAATGGCGAGACTGCTCTGTTACAAATTAAAAACAGTGGCTGAAAAGTACAGCTTTATATCGAATCAAATGATCTGGCATTTATTTTAGCTCTAATATATTGTGTGTGTAAAAAACAACATAAAACATTTAAAGAACATTTAAAGAATTTTTATTTCAGATACCAATTTTTTTTAAATTACATTTCAATTGGGAGTATAATCATGAACAGATGAAAATGACCAACCAAAGGATAGAAGTTAAAGGTGAACTGTTATTGTGGGGTTTGTTTTGTTTGGAGGCATAACCACTAATAGGGCCTCTATAATCAACATCAAATGTCTAAAATAAATTTATTGTAGCGCCTTGTGATTCCACTGGGGGAGACACCATCACACAAAAAAATATGAGCTTGGTTTATTGTCTTGATAATCAGACAGAACGGACAGTGTAGGATATCAAACATACGTGGAGGAAAACAAAAATGGCACAAAAACCTGTTCACTTAAAAAAAAAAAAATTCTTAAGAAAAAGAAATCCACCTCACCATGGTTTCGGGTTGGGATCTTTATTCCACCACAGAGGAGATAATGTGTGCCGTTCCATTTTGTACGTCATCATTGACAAAGGCTGACACATCACAGCTGATCCTTTGTGGATCCTCTTATCTTCAGCCTGACAAAAGGAAGAGCAGAGTGAACAGAACGGTGGGTCAGTACTGGATGATGATAAAACCATTTAACCGTGACCTCATTTTTGTTAGGTGTCAGGTAGGGGTGTGTGGCTCAGATGGCCCCTGTGCACAGTGGGTGTCATCACAGGTTGTCTGGACAAGTCTGCTGTGCCACTGCAATCAGCGACTTGCCATAAAGTGCAACTCATCATTGCCACACACCACAGGCTAGAACTTCAAAAAAAAAAAAAAAAAAAAACTGCTGTTTTTTGAAAGGTTGCTGTGTTGTTAAGGCAACTGGAGCTTGTGTTTATTCTGTAGCTCACTAAAAATGCCCAGGTTAACACCACTGACACAACTGAGATTTTTAATGATGTCACCATCACGATAAATGATAAGCCTCCACTTTAACAGAATGGCTGAATAAGACGTAACTCTTTTGACCTTTATAACAACTTACTGCAGCACCTAGAAAGTCAGGGATGGACAGATAATTTGAAAAAAGAACAGTCAGCAGACATAACATGTTAGGTAGTTACATCATGTAACTAGAAATAAGTGATTCTAGTAAACAATTCACTATCCCAAAATTATGAACATTCTGAAAACAGACCTTTAGAAGACGATCATCCAGATCAGTGAAAACTTGAGCTCAGACTCCTCGGTGCTGCATCAGTCTTCATGCATTTTCTAGAATTAAAAAAAAGAAGTCCAAATTAATGTTGTGTTTGACAAATATCGATAAACTCGTGATTGAGTGTTAGGGTACAGGTTGAGTCAGATGGCCCCTGTGCACAAGTTGTGTCCTCAGGTTGTGTCAGGTCAGGGGGGTCGATGCCACTGCATCAGACACACCCCGACTGTTACGTGCAACTCATCACCCTCAAACCAAATACCCAGGAAACCTGTCCTTCTTCAACACCAAGGCCGAAGAAATACCTGCTGAGTGTGCACAGAATTGGCACCAAAATTATGTATGCCTCAGATGATCCTATACTGAGAAAATTGTTCTGTCAACAATAGATTAACAGAAGGACCTTCTGTGTGTAAGACAAATGTGTAACCAGGCATGATAACTGCTTAATGTCACACTAATATGTGCTCTTGGTCGAGTGTATTTTTTGGCCTTCTAATGAGGAAGGCAACAGGCAATAGAGGCCCGCTTTAGACAAACCCAATATTTACTTAGGAGCTTAAACTGAATGTCTTTCAGGCAGGTTCAACTGGCCTCCGTTGGTAAAACTTTTGTAATTATTCTTGTATTCACCTAGACTTCAAATGAACCTTTTTCAAGCTGTTACTATAAATGTATGTATTGTAAGTCGCTTTGGATAAAAGCGTCTTTAGCAACAATTGTTTTATCACAATACTCATCCTTTGGGTACCAAGACGTTGGAAGTGAAGAGCTGAAGGCAGTGAGAGTGTCATTGTACCTAGTGTACATTTCATATAAACATTTTTTCAATTTAATTTGAAGTTGTTAGGTAAAGGCCTACCATAATAGTTGACCTACAGTAACACGTTGACCTAACCTTTGGATCAGTAGGTTAAAAGCAACAATTCACCGGAGTAGCAATGACTACGGAGTAACTTTGTCGTAGAAAAAGGAAAGGAGCAGAAAGGCTAATCAAAATTGTTATAATTTGACATCACCATCATGCACAATGCGTTCGTCTTCATCGAAGACGTTTTCTGATTACATGCTGTGAGGGAAGTGAGCAGTGAATAGCTTGAAACATTAGCCTACCTTTGCTGTGGTCAGTGGTTGTTGATGACGTATGCGTACACACTTAAAACCATGTCATGGCATATGCGAGATTTAAGTATATTTTCCCTTCTCTGCGTGAAGTTGTGTGGCTCTAGACCTTCAACACATTTATCTTATCACAGTACCTTGCCTTTGCTTTGAGCTTGCCGTTTCTTTAGCCAGGCCCATTAATCAGTGCTCACGTTTACCGTACTGTTCGTATACCGTATTTGGTGGACACTGGTGAGGTTCATTGGGAACCAAGAAGCTATATTTTGCCGATGTGATACACCTTAAATTAAGGAAAACTGCAGACATAATGCTATTAAATTAAAAGAGCGCTACTCATCCTTGAACTAGCTAATTGCTAACACACATCGGTTCTAAACATAATTCGCCTGCAGATAACAAGAAAACACAGCCAGACGGAAAAGGAAAACATACATCATATACAAATGTTGTGTTAGCTGTTAAGTTACCAGATTTATGCGTTTTCCCTTCATAGGCAGAACAATCGAAGCCATGCTTGTACGCCTTTACAGCTCAACTGGGGGGGGTTTCTACATTTGAATTAGGGTTTCCGGTAAGAACCGCGCTTCAATAGGCTCACACACCGGATGATCGGAATTTTCTACCAATGAGAAGTTGCTTTTGTAGCATGCGCAGTCCGCGTTATTAGGAAGCGGCTGTTATTTGGTCTACCACGTTCACGAGATATAACGTATTATTATTATTATTATTATTATTATTTTAAGCTATTGAACGTATTTTACCAGCATTATTAACCAGTAAAAGTTTTCTTACTTTTAAATCCATTGTATGCAATATAAAGGAATAATAAAGATTTGACTGGTTAAAGTACATATTAAAAGGCCAAATTTGATCAGAAAAAATATTTACCTACCTATATATTGTATATAAATATACTATATATACACACTAGTGTGCAGTATATTAGATCCCAAAACATGTTTCTTATTAAAGAGTAAATACTTCCGATACCAACTGTTCTAACTTTACAATACTTTGCCTATGAGTTGTGTACTTTCAGTGTACTTTTGTCATTAAAATATATAAGAATGCAATGATGGGCAAAAAATTGCATTCAAATGCAAATGATTTGTCTTTATATTAAAAGATAGCCAAGGAAAAAAAATCACTATATCACACAACACAGCTTGTTAGTACTGCCATGGAAATACATATACAGTCTTCTTGTATTAACACATTATGTGACAAACAAACAGAAATCATAAATACCTTTTTTGTTAACTTTACAACAACTATTCGCGACCAGTATTTCATAAGATAAAAGAGAACTATTAAATAACTGGCACATACCCTATCATTTACAAGGCTTGGAAACACAGTGGTTAAAATATTCCAGCAAGAGCAAAATTAAAAATTAAAGTTATTCTCCAGTGAGTAAAATTATTACAGGACTAAAACAGTCACGGAATCCCTTTGTACAAAAGCCAAGAAAACTTAATGCAATATTGTCCACAAAAAGCTTTGCTAATATTGGCACAATAAAATATGTTCAGTCGCAGCAGTTCCTGCAGAAGACATGGAGCGAGTGTGAGCCAGGATGATTGGTTTCCAGGTTTTGTTGAAATGCTCTGTAGGCCAAGTGTCAACCCACCGTCAGGGACTGTGGTTATGTAGCTGCCAAAACCCTCTTTCAGTGGCCTCAGTGCTTCGTGGAGCAGCAAATCAGCAAGTAGCTGAGTATGGAGCAGATAACTTCAGAATACATAGTTGAAAGAAGTCCAGCTAATAGTTGTCATTATACAGCATTTTGTTGTTGTTATTGTACCATAGATGAGATAAAAGAAAAACTTCAACATTTTGACAAGAAATGTCCATACCTTAAACTAATGCATTGGGTGTGGATGCATTTACATGATGTAAGGGAAAATGAAATGGCGGTCAGAGACGCAGTATTCTAATAGACCCAATAATGTACTGTTCTCTGGCTGTTAAGGATGAGTTGAGGGTTCAGACGTATGCTCTTATTGCCTACAACGTTTGGTCACACAGAAGCTTTTGGTTTTACATGCTAAGCATTTCATATTTATTTTTGAAACTGAATGCTACCCCTAACCCAAGAAAGTAACTCAGAAGTTTAACTTTAGAATGAGTTTTTGTAGCATAAAAATATCTGCAACTGCAATGCTATAAAATAACATCTTTTTGTGGCATCAGGTCACCCAGATTGACAAACTATTTTAATGATTAAATACAAAAATACTTACTCGCATATTTTAGAGGGCATTTATGGTAAAACTGCCAGCACAAAAAATAATTGTATGAATGTCCTAAAAAAAAGGAAGATATTTCTGATATTTTGAAATTTAAATTCAAGAGCATCAAATTATTACAATAAGTGCTAGGTTATCCACTCAGGCACCAAACCTCAGCAACCCAAACCTTGTTTATAAAGTGGAAATGCTTTCTGTAAATTTCTGGAAATATTAACAACCGAAATATGAACATTTTCATTTCTGTGGTTTCATGGAATAAACCGCAGTACAAAGAATGATCTGCGAGAAGAACAAATATACAGCTGAGGGAGTGACACAATCAAACTTTTGGCACTTTTTTTGACTCTTCACTGTGGCTTCCTTTGCTCCGCCCTAGGATCAACAATTGCTGAATGACAACTAAAAAAAAAAGTTCTCCCAGTGGATTTTAGAGGGGAATAAATTACTTCTGCAACAAGATGCAAGCTACCAGCTACCTTTAAGAGTCTTTCTGTCCCTCTGGAGGCTGTTAAATACGGAGATAATTTTACTGTATTCCTGTGAGGACTAAAGAATTCAGTAATGATCATACATTTCTACAGGAGTTTAACTGCAGAAAGATGCTCAGAGACTTTTAAGTTTTAAGTCCCATCCTTTGGCACTGTCATAAATACAACTCTTGAATACCCAGGTCCTGCAGCATAGAGTTCAAACACAGCTCTCCAACTCATCTGTGTCTGTAAAAGGGAGCAAACCCACTCTATAAGTACAAAAATGTTTATAAATAGAGTTCATAAGTGAGTGGTTTTAGAGACAGTGTCATGGTTCCACCATCCAGGGAGGGTGTCATTTTAGCTTTGTCAAAAAGTAAAGATTCACCCAAAAGAAGTACGCATGAAGCTCTATTCAGAGGAGCGTTAGTTGCATCGAGTCTTCCGCCTTTAAAAAAGCTCACTCTCTGTTCGCTTCTTCCCAGAGTTCTTTGTTTCCAATTCCCACATGCTCATTAGTTTATCTTTTGCCTACAGGCAGTAGCACTGAGGGTTCGGGTGAAGTTCCCTGTGTGTGTGTGTGTGTGTGTGTGTGTGTGTGTGTGTGTGTGTGTGTGTGTGTGTGTGTGTGTGTGTGTGTGTGTGTGTGTGTGTGTGTGTGTGTGTGTGTGTGTGTGTGTGTGTGTGTGTGTGTGTGTGTGTTTGTTTGTTGGCTTCACTGGAGCTAAATATTCCTAGAGAATGTGGATTGTTGTCTTTGTGTTTTTGTACCTGCTATAAATACATGTGTTTAAGATGACAGAGGGTTTGATGGAGATTAGAGGGCAGAGGACTCCGCTCACACTTCACTCTCAGTGGACGGTTTGCGCATCGATGCCCAGCCAGTGTCAGGCAGGCTATGCTGAGTGTGACGTTGTGGGGTGATGGCAGAAGGAGTCAGGGTGGTTATAGAGGAGCATTCAGATGCTTCCTCCTGAAGAAGCTGCTCCGTTTCGCCGTCATCCAGCGAAGCACTACTGGCCTGCAGGGACACAGTGTCTGTACGCATGCAGGTGTGCAGGCCGCCTCTGGACGGCTTGATCTGTTTAAGGTCGTCCCAGTAAAGCTCCTCGTTGGACAGAAGACACACGCCCTCCACAATGCGGATTTTTTCCTTGGTGTAGCCTCCGTCCACTCCCCCCTGAGTACAAAGATGTGAACAGTTAGACTTTTACCAAGTTCAAAAGATATAACCAGCACCAGGTCTGCCTGAAATATTTCTAAATCCAAACAATCTCTTTCTTTGGCCTGAATCTACCAGATCTCTGTTACATGTCCTTTAACTTTATTTCCTCACATCCTTTCTTTCTTGACTCAGCGATTCCTTTGTGAGAAATAACAACATAAGCCTAGGTTAGAATAAAATCTTTAAAAAAGCACTGCACAGAACAAACCATCATCACTACAAACTCAGTCCATGCACAGCAGACGTGGAACTTTCAGTAATGCTGTGCTTTCTTCCAAAGATAGTTTTGTCATTGTCAGATTGTAGAGCCCCAGGTGTATAATAACCATAAACACAAACAGTGGCACGTCAGTCTGTGTAATTTAGAGTGAAATCCCACGAATTGTTGTGCAGAAAAAGGAACAGGAAACTGCTCTATTTTCTGCCAGTAAATAACTTAGACATTGAAATTATTCAGTCCGTTGTAGCAGGAAAAACTCGAAAATTGCCATTTCATCTCCAGCATGAAAAAATTGTCAGCCTCACATCATTGAGTGTCAGTTTTTTTTACCTAAAGCTGCAAGTTATAATCATTTCTTTTCCTCTAGCCGACACAAAGTTGTTTTGATATTGAGTGCAACATTAAACCGACAACATAATATTTGAGGCTCTGATTAAAAAAAAAACCAGATAAATAAAACAGGATTTGATCATCTTAACTCTTCTCTTACTCCCTTTCTAAAAATAATTTATTTCAATGTTTAGTAATTGTTTAAAATGATTTGAACTACTTTGCCCATAAGTGTAACATTTCAATTTAAATAGATTAATTGTAACGTTAGTCCCAAACACTGCCATGTCAATAATTATGATTTTGGAAATTCACAAGTTTGTAGATTTCATGCAACATGAGAAAAAAGTCAGAAACAAACAAAAGTCGCCTTCATGCTGTGCTTCTACCTTTTCGCATGACAAGTGGGTTAAAAAATAAAGGGAGAGAGGGAGTTGTAGGGATGGGAGAGCTGCAGTGAGGAGGAAACAATGGAGAAGAACAGATGAGCATCGTTGACTGTGATGTGCTACGACACAAAACCAGAATAGATGACATACACCTGCAAAGTCTGACGTCAGATCAGAATATTCTGTATTAAATTCAACTCCATCATTAAATGTCCTTTTCTCTCCAGTCTCCAAACTGCCCATTACCTCTTTCTTATATCGCAGCTGGTTGTATATTGGAGGCTTTTGCGATGCCTCTATCTTCACTTCCTGCGTCGACGTCCGATATGAAGGGTTACTGTAGGTCAGGTTGCTCACTCCCGGGTCGGCAAACTTTGACTTTTTGTGTCTGTTAATTCATATTGAATGACATGTATGTTTACATTGAATAATTTATCGTGGACAGAAAAAAATAAAATGATGAAAACTTTAGTTTCCCAAAGGATTGACCTGTAAATGATCAACGCAGCGATGAGGATCAGAATAGCCAAGATGGTCAGCACTCCACCAATTATGTAGCTGATATGAAGACCCTCTCCTACAACAGACAACACAAATATTATACAGACTGTAGCATATCCAGTGGTCTGTCGAGCCTTAAATCCACAATTGTGTGAACCAATAAATACATTTGTTTCTATTCACTAACCATGAGGAGCTGTCACCACGTTGCTGGAGCAGCCTTCTCCACCCAGATCTGTGCAACTGCAAAACAAAGTTCGACAAATTTTAAAATTATTTTGAGGAACTTACTCCCTATTTATATTAAGTTAGAAAAGAACTAGTTCATGTGTCTCTCTGTGCAAATGTAATATAGTTAATATATTTGTTAAGATGCAGCTCATTTGTATTTAAACGAATGATTCACATTTGTACATTTTATTAAAAAAACGGACAGAGATGTGATGGTGTCATCCATATTCGTCAGTGCTCAAAGATCTTGGAGTCATTTACACAATGTTCAATGAACAATGAAAAGCAATATTTTATAAAGAATGCCAAAAGCAGAGTGCTGAGACTACTGCACTGACACATGTGATGCTGATGACATCACTCTAGTAATCAGTATCAATACTAGCAATACTAGTAATACTACACAATAATATCAATGAGAGGCCTCACTGTTTTCACAGAGTTCAAAAGGATCAACAGACATACTTGACCAGCGAGGGTCCTCTGTGTGGAGAGTCTGTTGGGATATTGTTTGGGACAGGAGTGCTGCTGGTGGCTTTGGCGGGAGACGTGGGAACATAGCCGGAAACTAACACAAATGAGCAGAAAAGATCAGTAACTGAAGTTCAAAGAATCTGAACAAACTGTACATCATATGGTAGTAAAATGACAGCGTCGTGGCAGGGACTCACTGGTGGAGCACGGTCTTCCGTCTGGTTCATCAGGACAGGCACAGACATAACTGTTGGTCTTCGCAAAGCAGAGGTGAGTGCAGCCACCATTGTTGACACCACACAGGTTGGTACCTAAATATGTCAGCAGTAAATATTTAGATTAAAAACATTAAACAGGGTAAGAGTTACATTTAACATTCTGCATATACTCTTATTTTTTATTCTGTCAATAAATATAGTTAATATGTTATTTACTTAAATCCCCAAAACAACAATATAAAGAAGCTGAAAGCAGATGAAGTCAGTGAGTTAAAACCTCAATGTCCAGTAGCTACAGTGTGTTCAAACATTATACGACATTTAAAGTCTCTATTTATATAAAAAGTCTAAAGAATAATTTTGTCAACATTCCGTCACTCACTACGACCGTGGTTAGTAATAACTGCTTTAATGCCACTGAGCTCAGAAGGGAAAGATAAATCACGGCAAGGACGTCAGTTGTCTCCAGTGTCTGCTGAAGGAGACCTTATACCTGTCTGTCTGTGAGGTGAAACTACTATAATGTCCATGAGTCCTTCCACGTTGGCGAGTACAGTTTCCTTGTTACGCCCCGTGTGTTTGTCCACCCTCTGAATGGACTTGGTCTGCCAGTCCGTCCAGTAGATCCACCGGTCTTGCTGCGAGAGTCGGGAGAAAGGAGTTAGAGGGGAGGAGACCGGCTTCAACTGGGGAAACGGGAAGAGAGGAAAAACACAGACAAGGAGAAGGGAGTGGAAGAAAGATAGGGACGGGTAAAAAAGAGAGAGGGAGAGAGAGAGAGGGACAAGAGGGAGGAAAAATGAAGGTCAGAGTGGTAAAGAAGTAGAAGAAATGGTTAAGACGAATGGATTCAGCATGAATTGGAGGATGGAGAAGACAAGTACTGAGGGTCACATGGTGAGCTAATGGGTGGAAGTGAGTGGAAGAAGGAGGGGCAGTCTGGTGAGTGGCAGCTGAAGATGGGGAGTTGCCAGGAAAGAAGGGGTCAG